GCATCTTGCATATGTAGATTGGCCATACATTCCACACATTCGTTTCTCATGCTTCTTTTAGTTTTTACATAGCTCGCTGGGCCATGGCGCCTTTTTCGGGGGCAGATTGGAAGGAGGAGTTGCAGCACTGTTCCAAGCTGTTGAAGCTTCGTCCCAACTCAGAAGTTGGAAAAGCGGCAGCAGAGACTTTGCTTCACCGCTTGCACGCCTCGGACCCTTTGTCTCCGTCCCAGCTGACAGAGCTCTACGAAACTGTCGAAGCATCGGACTTACCTTCCGAGCTCAAGCATGAGATGATGGAGTCGGTCGATGCAATGCAAAGCTCAACTTCAACGTCCAGGTTGGTACCCAAGGGCACGTCCTTTGCCCACCTGAGTGCTTATTTGAACAGCGAGGACTGGAAACGGTTGAAGGAAGGCAACACTTTGGATGGACAGGCCATCCTCGTGCATCGCTTGCAGTCTTTGGGAGTGCGGTCCTTGAAGGAGACTACCAAAAAGACCTGTGTTGCACTCTTGGTCTACCTGCACATGCAGAAGGGCAATCCAATGCCAGATGCTTGGACTCTTTATGGCCTTGTCAACGACATCGCCAAAAGCTTCTTGAACTACAAGCTGCAGCCCAAGATCGGTACACAAGCCTCTTACCCTTACAACCCGCAGGACCTCGGAGCGGACAAGCTGGAAAAAGTCTACGGAGAGGACAAGCCCACCGGAGAGCACATCTTCCTTGGGCCCGTCATGCACAAGATTGCCTGCCGCAGCACCAGTGCTTTGCTTAAGCCAGTTGCAACACCCCAGCAGCGGGCTCCGCAACAGCCGGCCCCCGGGCCTACCCTACCCGTGCAGCCGCAGTGGCCCCAGCAGCCCCACGTGCTTCAGCCACTGCAATCGCAGTGGCCTCAGCAGGCCCAGGTGCCTTCCCAGCCCGTGCAAGCACAGTGGCCTCAGCAGCCCCAGCTGCCTCCCCAGCCTTTGCAAGCGGAGTTTGCCCAGTTTCAGAAGTTCCAGGAGTTCATGCAGAAGCATGGAGGAAAGCTTCCACCTTCGGACCCGGGTGCTGCACCTTCAGAGCAAGCAGGACAAGCTTCGCAGGCCCTGGTGCCTTTCTCGGCAGCTGCACAGCAGCAAGCTGTGAATTGGAAGCCTGCTGCACAGCAAGCCCAGCAGCTTTGTGCTGCTTCAGCAGCCAACCCTGAAGAAGAGGGACAGAGAGAGGATCAGGCGCCGAGCTTGGAGGACATGGAAGCCCAGGCTTTGTTAGAGCTGCAGGGCAGCAAGAAGCCTAAAGCCAAGGCAAAGGCCAAAGCAAAGGGGAAGGCGAAGGCTACACCTCAGCCTAAGAAGGGCCTGCTGAAGAAGAAGCCCGCAGCTGCGGACAGCGCGGTTTCGTATGCCGCCAGATTGGCAGCTTACAACAAGGCTACTGGCGAGAATCGAAAATGCTTCGGGTGTTGCAAATGCCGTGGCGGGCCGGCTGGCTGTGCTCAGTGTTGGAACCCGCTGTTCCAAGGAATGCGATTCGAGGGCAGGGCCGAGTACGAGAAGTGGATTGCAAAGAAGAATGGCAAGAAGAAGTAAGCCATTCCGCTGTTCAGTGCTTTTGGGCAGCTGCATCTTTCATTCTGTATAGGGTATCCACGGGAGCATGTGCTTGAACATGTGCAAGCCTGTGACGATTGTTTTGCAGATGGCATGCAAGGGGTTCATGCTAGCGAAGTCTGGCATCGTGCACATGCATTGGGGCGAGGAAAACTAGCATTGCCATTTTGTTGTGAGTCGAGATGCTGTGTGGCAGCCTGCGGATGTCGCATCTTGCAGGGCCCTCTAAGCACGTCTTGTTTGCAGCTGTTGCTTTTGAGTTGCTCGAGGGCCTTTGTTGGCTTGGTGCATGTAGCCAAAGCTTTGGCAGTCATGCTTCCAACTTTCCAGAAGCTTTGCACCAAAATAATCGATCTTAGTATTGCTCGTTTGCTCCGCTCTGACAGCCAGTGCAGTTGAAGCTTTCATGCTTGCAACTGTTTAGGCGCTTTGAGAGAAAATAATCCATGTAAGTATTGCTGCTTTGCTTGCCTCAAGCCTGCATGGCGGAAAAGAAGAGCTTGGAGAGGGCTGCGAAGCTGCAAAAGCTTCAAGACTTCAGACAGTCCGTTCCACAGTGTAGCAAAGCCGCTTTGGATGCTATCCTATCCCGTGTGGAACAAGATGGTGTTCCTGAGTTACACAACGACAAGCAGATGAGAGAGGCAGATTGGCGAAAGCTGAGCACAGCTTCCCAATATGGGCCACTGTTCTTGGATAGAGACATCGTGCTCAACGATGGCAAGATGGCCAAAATCAAGATAGTGAACTACCTTTCTTTGTTGGATGCTTGCTACAAAGAGCATGGCATTTTTCATGGCCTGGTCAGACAAGCTGTGCTGAAACAGGAAAGCAGTGTGGATGCCCCGTGGCAGTTGCTGGTGTATTCTGATGAATGCTGGCCTGGCAACCCTTTGTCGGCGAAGGCAGAGAAGAAAATTTGGACAGTGTACATCAACATCAAGCAGCTTGGTCAGAGGGCTTGGGCTATGGAGGACATGTGGCTGCCGGTTTTGGTGTGCAGGAGTGTTTTTGTGAGCTCAGTTGCAGGGCACATGGGCCAACTGCTGAGAGAGGTGCTCCTTAGCATCTTCCAGAATCCCTTCTGCAAGCCCAGAGATCTTGGCTGCAAGCTTTCTGCTGGCGAAGCAGATTCTGTCCGGATCTACCTGGAGGTTGGAGCGCTCATCCAAGACGGGCAAGCTCAGAAGTATGCCTACGGCATCAAAGGGGACAGTGGCCTGGTTTATTGCCTGCCCTTTGGCATTTTTATCATTAGAAGTTCTTGCAAGCAATGAATGCTTCGCTTTCCATGCAAATTCATTGGCATGTTGTTTTGTTTCTTGATGGTTCAGCCCATTTGTTTCGAGCTTTGCCGTGCATGCAGGAAGTGTAGACCAAAAGTGACGGAGCCGACATCCAAGCAGGAACTACGAGTTCACAACGATGCTGAAGTTTGGGCATCTTTCGACAGAATGGCAGCACGGGCGACTCTCCCCACTAAGGACTTCGAAGCCTGGCAAACAGCGACGGGGTGGTCGTACTCGGCCTATGGCCTTCTTGCTTGCATGGCTTTGAGAGCACTGCTGAAGCCCGTGTCTTCTTACATGCACGACTACATGCATGGAGTGCTTCAGGGGTGTATGCCAGTTGCGATGTACGTGGTACTGGAAGCTTTGAGGGCCGCCGGCTTGAAAAGCTGGCAAGGGATGCATGACTGGTGTAGTCTTTGGTTTCTTCCGAAAGCCCACAAGTTTGCCATGCACAAGCTTTTCGAAGCCAAGCGTATCGATGCTCACCGTAAAGCAGAAAGGATTAAGGCGCCTGCTTCGGAGATCCTGGAGCTGTTTCCGGTTATGCGGCAATACGTGCT